GTTGGCGTTTGGGGGGATTTCAGGGGCTTTTGGGAGGATTTGGGGGGATTTAAGGGAATTTGAGGGCACTTCTGGGAGTTTTGGGGGCGGTTTCGGGGGGTCTTGGGGGATTTCGGGGGGTCCCCGTGTCCCCCTCTCTGTCCCCATGTCCGTGTCCCCTCCCCTCCCCATGTCCCATCGATGTCCCCGCTGTCCCGTTGATGTCCCCGCTGTCCCGTTGATGTCCCCCCCGGCTGCCCCAGGTGTCCCCGTGCCCATGGAGCTGCTGTTCGGGCGCCGGAAGACGCCGGAGGAGCTGCTGCGGCAGAACCAGCGGGCGCTGGGCAGGGCCGTGCGGGAGCTCGACCGCGAGCGGCAGAAACTCGAGGCGCAGGAGAAGAAAATCATCGTGGACATCAAGAAAATGGCCAAGCAGGGGCAGATGGTGAGGCTGGGGACAGGGGGGACATTGGGGACAGCTGGGGACACGGGGAGCACAGGTGGGGACACTGGGGGTGGTGCAGGGCCGGTGTGGGGTGGGAGGGAGAAGGTGGAGGGGACACGGGGGGGACCTGAGGGACATCCCAAGCTCCCAGTGTCCCTGATGTCCCTGGACGTCTCCCCAGTGTCCCCTTGGCTGTCCCCCTGATGTCCCCAATGTCCCCCTGCTGTCCCCCGTGTCCCCAGGACGCCGTCAGGGTGATGGCCAAGGACCTGGTCCGGACCCGGCGCTACATCCGCAAGTTCATCACCATGAGGGCGAACGTCCAGGGCGTGTCCCTGAAGATCCAGACCCTCAAATCCAACAGCTCCATGGCCACGGCCATGCGCGGCGTCACCAAGGCCATGGCCACCATGAACAGACAGGTGAGGGCACACCTGGGGACACCTGGGGACATCTGGGGTCACCAGTGGTCACCAGTGGTCACCAAGGCCAGGCTGCCACGGGCAGACAGGTGGGGACACCTGGAGGTCCCCAAGGCCACCATGGCCAGGCAGGTGGGTGACCCTGGGACGTCCCCCAGGGATGTCCCCAAGGCCGTGGGCCGGTGTCACCCCCGGGGACGTGCCCCAGGCCGTTGTCCCCTGTGTGCCCCTGGTGTCCCCAGTGTCACCCCCGTGTCCCCCCAGCTGAAGCTGCCCCAGATCCAGAAGATCATGCTGGAATTCGAGCGCCAGGCCGAGATCATGGACATGAAGGAGGAGCTGATGAACGACGCCATCGACGACGCCCTCGGGGACGAGGACGACGAGGAGGAGAGGTGGGGACACCCAGGGGACACCCAGGGGACAGGGAGGGGACACAGGCACATGGGGGGACAGGGGGACACCAGAATTTGGGGATATGGGGACGGGGGACATGGCGGCGGGGGGGATGTGGCATTTTGGGGACCTCTGGGTACGGCTGTTGGGGGGTCCCAGTGTCCCTTTGTCCCATTCCTGATGTCCCAGTGTCTCCTCCCAGTGTCCTGTCCCATTCCCAGTGTCTCCTCCCAGTGTCCCTCTGTCCCATTCCTAGTGTCCCACTCCCAGTGTCCCTCTGTCCCATTCCCAGTGTCCCACTCCCAGTGTCCCACTCCCAGTGTCCCTCTGTCCCTCGCAGTGACGCCGTCGTGTCCCAGGTCCTGGATGAGCTGGGACTGAACCTCACGGATGAACTGGCCAGTGAGTGGGGGGGGGACCTGGGGGATTTGGGGGGGCATTGAAGGGGCCTGGGGGGAGTCTCGAGGGGGTTTAGGGGCATTTAGTGGGTGTTTAGGGGGCCCGGGGGGTGTTTGGGGGAGGCCTGGGGGGGATTGTTTAAGGGACTGGGGGGATTTGGAGCCATTTGAGAGGCGTTTGGGGCCATTTCAGGGCTATTTTGGGGGTATTTGGGGCCATTTTGGGGGTATTTGGGGCCTTTTGGGAGCTCTTTACCCCCATTTTGGGTCATTCCAAGCGGGATTTCGGGGGTCCTGGGGGTGCCCCC